GCTGCTAAGGACCCTACCGATTCAACTACCGATGACATTTCAACATCCATCATTAGTCCCGCAAATATGCTTCAACTAGTGTCATTACACAATATTGTGCACAAGAAAAGAAAATAAACAATGCAATATTGTGACTTAATGAGACTGCCTTAAGCATTACTACAAAAACAATAGATCACATGACAAAGTAGAATTTGTCTAACTTCAACTCAAGAGAAGTCCAACCAACGATTGGGTACATACCAAGAACTAAGCCTTTGACAGTATACAACTAAGGCATTTAACACCCCCTTTTGAGTAAAAACTATGGAAATTGAATTTAGACATGCTTTGATATAGATAATTCATAGGGTACTTTTCAAAACGTTTGGTCATTTCTGTGAATAAATATTTGAGACCATTTGAATAAATAAAGGATTATTACACCTCGGAAAACTTTAACACTACAGAATAAATACATTCATGTACCTGATGCACGGGTTTAAATGATACTATGTATATCCAAAAGGTACTCAATTGTATTTTTTGTTATTATTTGTTCAGTTGTTTGATGTAGTAAAACCTCAAACTTCAAATGATTTCTCCATTAAAATGACAATGAGAGTTTTATAGAAGAAGCAGTACATGACTGCTTATATCGAGAACCAAATCATCATTTATCATTACAAACTAACCTCGGTCCTTGTAAGAGTTCTCTCTTTTACTGCCTAGTCATATTTTAATTTGACTATAATTTTTTGACAACATTAAGTAAACATATTGTTAATTACGGATGACTATTGATTCTCCTATTTATGCATGCAATCTTCAGGGGAACCAAGCAACATCCAAGAACATGGTTTGTACATAAAGTTAAGTATAATGGTAATAGTGTATTCTCATGCTTCTTGACTAAGAAATGCCTAAGCTAAGGATTAACAATATTGCATTTTGATTAAAACATCATGAATATGCATTATTAAATAGATATATAAGTGTGGTTAAAAAAAATAGATATATAAGTGAGATCATGCACTTTGCACTCTCATAACCCACAAAAATACCTGGTGTGCAGTGTAAACTGGGAACTCTTAGGCATGATCTCAATAAATCCATAATTACAAAATACAGATCACTGTTTTTTTCACAAAATACCTTATTTTACCAACTCCATATCTCCAAGGATAAGCTCAATCAGCTTTTTAGGACGATCATTCTTGAATATTGTTTTAGAATTTTTATCAGACAACTTGGTGAACAATATCTCCATTTCAATCACAATAAGAAGGAAAAACACCACTATGCATTTTGTGCCTGATTTTCACAACCATGAAGTTTTTACTGCAAAAACACATCCTTCCTTGAACAGCCTCCGAAATGTAATCAATTGCTCCTTATTCTGGGTGTGGATCTTGGTCCCTGCCTAATTTACATATAAAAAATTATAAGAATATAAGTCATACTGATCTTTAAATAGCACTTGTAACATGTATATATCGCACCTCATGGAAAATCATCTCCACAGAATTGTGAGTGAACTCTCCCGATTGTGAGTGAGCATTTATATATCAAATTTTTTGTTCAATATTTGGAAACTTCGTCATTTATTTGCAAGTGAGGAAGTTGGCCAACATGATGTTGATAGTTTTGAGCGGGAAAAAACTGAGACATGTAAGTGGTGTGGTTATTAAGAAAAAACTGAGTTTATGTGATTAATACTTAATTTATAAAGTAAGAATAGGACCACACAAATTTTACCAAATTTAGTATGAGACGGTATTAGTGGGATGAAGCGAAAAGGAAATATGATCTTAGCGGGATGGAGAAAGTCATAAATATCACAAATTAATCAAAGCTGAAACTAAAACAAGCATTTACATAAAAATTAAAACAATTAGACAAACTAATCAAAACTAAAGAGAAGCTTAAACTAAAGTAATCACTTATATAGAAAATTACATCAACCACGCACACTAATCATGTCTATTTTACAAATTACATGGCATATATGAAATATATACATAACATATATTAAATATATAATCTATTAAAAAATACGATAGTAAAAGATATTAGTACGGGTCGGGTAATGGTGTGGATCACTGCACCTGAATTAAACGGGGCAAGTAACAGGTCGGGTAAGTATAAAATTGTACCCTCCCTATTACCCGTTTACAGAAATCGGATAATCCCCATTCCGTACCCGTTACACCAAGTCAATGCAATTTTCTCCATTTTGACCGATTCGGTCCGTCGTGGGTATTCGTCGAGTCGATTAAATTGCCATCCCTAGTTTGAATTTGGACTAAGTTTGATTTAATTTGGTGTGATCTTGATTGGTCTAATTGATATTCTTACTCTTTGTATTTTATAACTGTAGAATTTGGTTTGGTCTGATTTGTTAAAGTCTAATCTAATCTGATCTAGATTTTTTAACTATAATCTGGTCTAATCTGATCTAGTCTTGAACTGAAATAAATAAAAGTAAAACCAAGGGTGGTTCAATACGATATACCTCATATTACATCCCAGACCTATAGCACATCGTTAATTTTTTGTATGCAAAAATATATATCGTTACCTTACCATAATTTCGGTATACCTTCTTTCAATATACCGAAATTTTGGTACGATAAAGATACGATATCGATAAATTATTATGACTTACTTGAACTTCAGTATAACAAACTATTATATGCCGAATGAAATATAGATATATAGAATAGCAGTGTTAATAGTGATATGCTAAAATTAATTACAAAACACTAATGATAACTCATTAATGTTTTATTTAATTTTGAACCATAATTAGTAGATGTATTTCAATATTTCAACACTGTGATTTTTTTATAGGGAAAAGTACGGAAAAGGTACTTGTGGTTGTACCCGTTTTCAGATAGGGTCATGTGTTTCATTCTTTATCAAAGTGGTTCATGTGTTTGAATTTCGTTATCACAAGAGGGTCACGCCGTTAAAAGACCGTAAAAAGTAACTTCGATTGGAAAAGACCGTGAAAAGTAACTCCGATTTTCAAAAGTGCCCGGAAAATTAAAAGTAAAATACAAAAAAGTGCGCCTCATCAAGATGACCTCCAACCCACCTTCGCATTTGGGGTTTTCAGAGTTGTTTGAATTATTTTTTTTAAAATGGTTTCGCTAATATCACTTTTCCGGTGGACTTTTTAGTAACAAGGGTGGCTGAAAACAAAAAAGAAAGATGGCCTAGTGGTCGTCTTATTGAGGCGGACCTTCCGGTATTTTTCTTTTAATTTTTCGGGCATTTTTTAAAATCAGAGTTACTTTTAAGTTTTAACGGTCTGTTTTAGACGTTTTTAACGACGTAACCCTCTTGTGATAACAGAATTCAAACACGTGATGACGTGAACCACTTTGATAAAGAATGAAACACATGACTCTATCTGAAAATGAGCTCAACCACAAATACTTTTTCCGTACTTTTCACTTTTTTTTTTAATATCGAGAATGAGCGGCCATTATATTAATATCAAGAACACATACAAGCCAATTTTCAGACAGATTTTACAGATCCATCGTGAACCCTAGGAGCAGACATAGAGTCAATCACCTCATACAAAGCAACATGATTCGTTAAACATGAAACATGCAAATTTAGGCTTAAAACAACCTGAATCGAAACTCTACCTATCAAAAGAATTCCAAAATTTCAAACATCCAAACCAAACATACTCGGACTAAAATAAAAACAAATCCTACTAAAGAGAAAATAATATTGAAATAAAATCTTTCCACAAAACTCTTCCTCGTACGGAGGTGGTTTCGGAAGAGGACGAACTCTTGCAATATGAGAGTGATAGAGTATATGGGCCCGGACCCCATGGCCCACATACTCAAGTCAACGATGGCCAGAAGAACACCCACGTGGCCCCCTTCGGCCAGTGGGTCCGCATCGGCCAGAAACCAAACCGGCCCAGGAAGCACGCATGGACTCCCGGGACCGCATCGGCCCATGGACCGCATCGGCCATGGGACCGCATCGGCCAAAAGGCACCGCATCGGCTCGGCTTCGTACGGGCAGAATGCTTCTCTCTACTTTATTTACTAAGTGTTGTACACAGCCCATTAGTGGCCCTATTTCGCCCAAAGAAGGCATGATTATTGTAATGGGCCTCCTAAGCCCAAGGCTAGGAGCCCAAACCCACATTTTTACCTATAAATAGACCCCATGGGGCTAATTATAGGGGGTTCCAAGTTGAGAAATATAATTACTCATGTACTCTCTCTAGCTCTCACTTCTCTCTAGAATTAATACTCTATCAGAGAGAATACTAACTCCATCAACGTCGGAGCGGCCGACCAAGGCTGCACGATCCAGCACCGATACAAACTCTCAGTCACAACCCGTACATCTGTCAACGATATATCCTCTGCCGTAACTGCAACCCCAAATGTTAGAACACATAAAATCAGTATAATCTGTCGCGGGGGCCCATATTGTGAGGGACAGCGGAAAATCTCAAACCTTGCATACAGGAGAGACAGGGGGCTATGATATATTGATATGAATGTGAAATTATGAATATAACAATAAATTCTTCTAAAATGATTTATCAAGCAACATAAAGTTGACCTGTGAGTGAGGAATTTTGCCGGGCATCAGTTTGGGGTAGTTTGGTTGCTGGAAGTCCTAAAACGTAAACATCGCCGCCCATATATTCCCGCCTATCTGCAAAGAAACACACTAAAAATTATCTATGGCCGCCGCGGTAGAGAGGTCCCTGTTCAAATATAAAGAAGGCGGCACAACCTCTTCCGCCGCCGTAACCACGATAGTGAAGCACCGATTCCTAGGGTTCCTAATCTGGCAAGCTCTCCAAACCACCGCGCTTCTTTTCTTAAAAAGTACACTCTTTTCTCCCTTTCTAAGAAACCCTCTGAAGCCCTCATTTACAGCCTTATTCGCTTTCATTGCCTTCCACGCCTCTCTCATACTCTTTGCTTCTTCTGTCTTCCTTCTCTCAACTCCTCACCCCCTTCGTGCTGCTTCTCCACTTGAGCTGCTGCTCAGTTCAGCGCGGATTGTCTTTGTCCCGAATTCTAGCTCTCAGCCGCTTCTGTCCCCTGACTTCCGTCATCGCGCCAGGGTTTCACTTTGCTTTGTTCTGTTCGTAGGGATTTGTGGCCTCTCTGCGGTTGTGTCCATTGTCTCAGTTTGTTGGAGTGCTGGTGCTTTTAGTCAATTGTGGCCGTGGAAAGTGATTATCTTGAATCTAGGGTTTAGGAGTTGTGGGATTGGGTTGTTCTATGGAATTCACTACGTTCGAAAGAGGAGATGGATTCTGCAGTTTCCTATTGTTCAGGTAAGTTAATGCTCACACTGGATTTATTTGAATGAATTCTTATCAGGGAGTGAATAATGAGATGCAATGTGCGATCTTTGTCTCTGTGACTTTCTAAAGAGTATGTGGCAAATAATTTAGAGCTTGTGCTTCGTTTAAATAGACTGATAACTTAGTTTGAATATGATTGTTGTGGATAAATACAAATTTTGCTCTTCTTTTGTTTTTGATCATTTGTTCTATTGCCATATCCGTTGAAGTGAGAGAATTGATTAATGATCTGGAATGTATAAGTGATTGAGGGGTTGAATTTTGAACAATTAGACAAATTATGTGTTTAAAAGTTAACACCCATCTTGTCTTTTGTTGTTTCTGACCTTCAAAATATGGCTGCCTGCCTGCCTCTGGCATTGGGGATTAATTGTAAGCATTTAACACAGTTTATGCTATGAGAAATACATATGCTTCACTAATCCGCTTTTTTAGAAGTTTGATATTCTCTTTTGTAAAAAATTATGCCGGGCTTTCTGTGAAGATGCTAAAGCAGTTATTCGTCGTATGTCCCTGTTTGTTTTATCGGTTTTCAGTTACCTACCAGTCGGTGTGAAATAGTGCTCCTCTTTTAGCCGCTTACATTGTTCATACGATGGCTTGCTGGATCTCTTCCCCTCATATATGACCTAATAGAAATTCATGATATTGCAGCGCCCTTCTTTCTTCAGCTTTAAGATGGGTATTCCATCAGCCATCACGCGTGCTTTAAAACTCACAACATTGGGTTTCTTAATGTCATCTTTTCTCTCATTTGGTTATCTGGACGAGCTCAGGAGACAATTGACAGCGATGAATCTCATTACTGATCAGATTTTACTCTACATCGGGACTTTTATGCTGTTTCTATGCTGGGAGTTATGCCATCATTTACATCAGGTTAGCCATTTATTTACATGATCACTTGTGCCACATTGTTGCAAAATTTGTAACATATCTTACATGGATTAGTTTCGTATGAATTAGATACTGTTTGAACAGAAAAATATGAAAACAAAAATGTTCTGACACAGTCATGAAATTAGGTTCTGCAAACGAAACGGTTTATATTTTCACACCCAAAAGGTTCTGCGGCAGCTGAAACGAATCCAAGTGAGCCGCTTCTTCTCACTTTAGAAGAGAGCATGCCAAGGTCCCTTTTGCAGTATCTTGCATATAATGACCTTTGCATGGTTTGTGAGAGTAATGTTGATTCTTGGCGCCGAGCTGCATTTTTTGAAGAAACTGGTGAGACTTACAGAAGGGTAGTCGATGTATGCTTGAATCCTTTGGAGAAGTTCATAAAAAGCTTAGGTGAAGTGTTAGATAGCCCATCTGTGGAACCCTCTTTCCAACTTTCTAATCAACTAAGGCCACCTTCAGAAATATTAGCAGACTCCAAACTCCATGAATCATTTGACGACAGCCAGGTAATCTAACTAATAAGCTATCACATGTTTTCTTTTATTTTGTTTGAGAGCTGCTTGCAATTTAACTGCTTACACCTAGGAATCTACATTATAATTGCTTTCTGCTATCCTATTATTCTACCTTTTGCTTCTGTGAATTTGTGTAAACATAGAAAATGTCATTAGGAGGCATCTTAGGGAACTATGGAGAAAATGAAAACAGCAGATAGCCTAACAGGTAGCACCATCTCTTGTTTTGTTCATTGAATTGCTTCAAAAGAGATCTAGTAAGATGTTCATGAGCAAATTGCCAGTGCATGACTAATAGTCCCTTCGGACATAGGTGCTCCAGGATCCATGGTGATACTAGCAACTTTACCAGCTATATCATCAACATCTGCCTCAAGAACAATTCAGCCATTAACAATTTTGTCAAGGCATCAAAGAATAAGATCCAAATTCTCAAGTGCCTCTCTCTTATCAATGCCGCCCCTTAGAAGAATAGAAACTTTATCGAAGAGTGCATGAAGATCTGTAGCTAGTATGAGCTCTATCTCGTCTTCACCCCCATTGACAAAGAAATGAAGGTCTTGAATAATATGTAAACAACAATGATGTTTTCAAACTTTGTTATTTCAGCTTCTGTCCTCACCTTTATGACTTTCGAGTCTTGGCAAAAATAGCCTTTTCAAATGTATCCAGCTTTCAATGATCCCATTCGTCTGAGTTGTACTTGACAGCAACACGCTTTCCTTTAGAATCTAGTAGGAAAATGTTCTTAAATGAAGAGCAGGAAACCATTATGGCAGCTTTGGATCACCCAACCTCTAAAGCTTGGCCAGGAGGGAGAAAGATGTGTGTGTGTGTGTATCGAGAGAGACAGGGAGGGAGGGAGGGAGGGAGGGAGCCTACGGTATTCTTGTCAAGCCAACTTCTGTTTAGACCAAAGTATGAATTCAATGATCCCATTTTATTTATATATTACAATTAACTATTAGTTTCAATTGTCATCTTAAACTTGTTTGAAGGTAGGCCCTTCGAAGTTCGAACTCACATTTTACTTATCTAACGATTGATACTAGTGAGAAAAAACGTTAGATCTTTGTCTTCATTTTTGACCAAAATGAAGTTGGTCTGACAGGATATCTGGGCGTGCCTAGTGAAATCATGCCTCTGTATATATGTATACAGTATACACACACAGATGCCCTCACACGTGCGCGCACATGTACATCTATATATATCTAGTAGCACATGCATTTGAGACTTAATTCACAACATGGTCAAAATGAAGTAAAGATTTAATTTGACACGTGTGTAATTTGAGAATTGTTAAATTGCAGCACTGCATTGAATATGAAATTGTTAACTAGTGATTATATTATAAATACATGCAGCTACTTGCCTGGTGCGCGCGGGCCATATCTTCGTTGACTGCGTCATCACACACAGAGGATCGATATGGGGTGGCGCAGCTCTCTGGAAGCAATGCAGCTGTTGTCTCGACATTACTGTCTGCTTTATTAGCTGTGGAAGCCCTAATGGGGAAGAAGACCAACTTAGAATCTTCTCACCATCAAATGGATCCATCTGGAATCAAATGGGCAACACTAAGCAGCTCTGGCAGGAGGGAATCAGCACCGTCATGGGGGGTTGCAGGGAGAAGAAAGGGGAGCCCTCTTTACACAAAAGCATATTCAATGGCTGATAACCTGAGGACTTCCATTTACTGCATAGTGATTGCCTTCCATGATGAAATGCTGACCAGTGCCAAAACAGGAGCTCTTGATAAGGACTGGATTATCACCAGCAGCAACAAGCCTCCTCTCTATGGAACACAAGAGCTGCTTTTACAGAAATTGCGTGTATTTCTTGATTTCCAAGCTAATTAGGCAGTCTTTCTTTCAGAGCTTCATGTTTTCCCTTAATGATGCCAAAAGATGATTTGAAAATGCAAACTGGGGATGGGAAGAATGTTATCATATTTAAAATTGTAATAACATGGCTTCCCTATCCGCTGTATGTCAGTCTTGTAACATTGACAAAACGATTGAGAAGCTGAGCTATTTTACGTCTCCGGTGGAAGTGGCTCTCAGTATCTGAGTTACAGAGTAATATTTTTGTTTCTTTGACCTTTGTGGGGGCATTGCCTCGCTTTCCATTTGAGTGTCCCTCCTTTCCTTTTGTCAAGAATATTTCCTATTTTCACAACACAATTTAGTGAATTTAGGGGTGTGTACTGTGTATGAATTGGTTCAAACAGAAAACTTGACCGGGCCAAACCGGGAAAACCGGAACTGGAATTCTACTTGATCCGGTTTCCGGTTATGAAAAAATACAATTTGGATTATTCCGGATTGAACTGATTTTGCTACACTTTAAAATATATTAATTAATACAAGGGATAAGAGTCAGATAGGGCCTCGAACTCGAAAAAAAATGTCAAATAAGGTCATATTTCGGATGCTCTGTCTGGCCGACGCCATTTGGGGCGGTTCCCGATGGAATTTTTTGATGAAATTTTTTGAGCATCTTCCTCATTAAGTCTAGTTTACCCATACCAAATTTCAGCTAAAAACTCAACCGGGAAGGTAGTCAAATGAATTTTTGAAGATAACTGTGAAGTTAAACAACGCCGTACATTTCGGAAAATTATTTGACTACCTTCCCGGTTGAATTTTTAGCTGAAATTTGGTATGGGTAAACTAGACTTAATGAGGAAGATGTTCAAAAAATTTCATCAAAAAATTCCATCGGGAACCGCCCCAAATGGCGTCGGCCAGACAGAGCATCCGAAATATGACCTTATTTGACATTTTTTTTCGAGTTCGAGGCCCTATCTGACCCTTATCCCTTAATACAATAATATAAAATACGGAGTAGCTGTAGATACTTCCTCTCTTCCATTTTATCTGTCTTAATATCTCTTTCCTTTTTGGGAAGAGATATTTGATCTATATCATTTTACTTTATTTTATTCAAATTTCTATTAGAATTTTTACATTGTCAATCATTTTCAATCACTTTATCATATCAAATTAGAACACATAAAGTGGGACAGGGGTAATAATAATAATACTAGTAATAATCTAAATATAAATGATTATTATAATATAAATAATCTTAATGTTATATTCATCCATTTATTCTTAATGTTTTGATCATAGTAATAACTAAAATTTATTATTCTGCACTCAAATTACACCAATATTTGCTCTCTAATACTAATGAAAATGAGCAGATAAATATAGTAATAGTATTAGTATTAGTATTATTTGTAATAATACTCCATCTTTACCAAAATATAAGCTGTATTCTTTCTCAACATTAATACTTTAGAAACAGATTTTTACGATCCGCTTCCGGTTTTGAACCGGTTAAAACTCGCAATATATCCGATCTAGTTTTTGGTATCTATTTCTTCTACAAAACTGGTTCCAATTTTGTCTGGTTTGGTCTGCTCTTATTTAGTTTTTAATCGATGTACCCCTTAAGTGAATTTATGACTCTCTTATGTTGATTGGAGTGAATTTATTACTCTCTTATGATGGTTGGAGACTTGGAGTGGATTTATCATTCTGTTATGTTCGTTGCCATTTAAGGTTCATCGCTGTCATAAATTTTGTGTCATTCAAACACCAGCAATATTTGTGCCAAAAATTGTGCTAGCCTTGAAAATTCTCTCTCTTTTAGATGTACGCTAGGAAATATAAATGTTGTTCGTTTACAACTTATGTCATTGACCATAGAATGATGAAGTGAGGTGGAGGTAGCTCGAGGTGGCTTCACAAATAGGAGTGGCTCAAGTGCACCACTTCTCATACTCGGGATACTCATTTTGTTAGAGGTCTTGAGTTCAAATCATTATCATTAAATATGTGGATTTGTGAATCTTACCTCCAATCCTCTAACCTAGAGGTCGGATTAGCTCAAGCACTCACACAAACAATGATTCGTCACTTCCCAAATGTCACTGTGAGAGTTGAGTTCTTGGGGAACATTCTTATATGACTGCCCGAACACATCGAAGCTAATAAAAAATGAAGTTAGTCGGAGCTATATGAACACTAGTGCTTGGTTTCTATAATAATGCAAGAGATTATGAGAATGGAGGTAACATAATGCTTTTCACCTAATTTAGTATTACTTCTATCGTTAAAGACAAGTCAAAATAGTCTAACATATTACCAATACTATCCCTACTTAGTTCAATATGATAGGAGAATTAAACGGTGTTCAATAGGTACACGTTTTATTCAGTAAATTGAATGAAAAAGACGGTCAAAATTCGTTGTAAAAACGTCGACTTTCATAAATGTGTAAATACACATAGTTGTATAATGCGGTATCTATTACAAAAAATTAGACTAAAAATATGAGCCTTATTTTGAATAGCAAATGTCATTACTACATCAATACCTATGTACTATTTTGAATGGATGGAAGTTACCATATATAATCATATTAACAATTTTTCACATCTTTGTTTTTATTTTATTAACAATATATTTTAAGTATAACTTTTTTTCATAATTCAACAGACAATTGAGCCGTTTCAACCAGAGCTTAATTAATTTGAGCAGAATTAGTCGATTTAGTCAACTTCAATGGTACCGCTCTAATTCAGGTTTAATGCATTAAACTCCTCATGAAATATAAATTTGGCGCATTAGCCCATTGTGATTTAAAATATGCGTTAAACGTCGTGTTATTGTTTATTCATGAGCAAAAGCCTCCTTATGTCCCGATTTAGTATATTTGTATGACTTAGAAATCTTGACATAGTTACTTGCATATTCAATCTTATTATTAAGATGATAAGTGATTTCAAAATCATAAATTCATTCTTGGGGTGGAATTTACACACGAATAATTATATTACTTGGAGATTGAGTCGTTTTTATAAGGGAAAGTTCCCGAAATAGGACTTAAATAGTTTGAAAATTTAAAAATAGGATGGTCATGTTTTTTATTCCCAAAATAGGAGTAATTACTGTCAAGTTTGGAAAATACTGTCATGCTTGAAGTCTAATACTGCCAAAACATGACAGTAATTAGTCATATTTTGGGAATAATAACGTGAGACTCTTATTTTGGTAAGGATTATTTTTAAATACCTCCCCTAAGATTTTCACATTTGACACTTTGAGGAAAAATATCAATATATTATTGATAACCCCCCTCCTCCTAAAATACTCAATATCAATAGTATTGAGTATTATGACACCTCCGGCAAAAGGATTTGTGAATTTCCAACTTGAGTTATTTTCAAAAACTTCCGGCCTTTCTCCAAATTTGACATGTCTAGGCGTAACTCTGTGGTATTTAGGCTCCGCTCCACTTCAAATTTTAAAATTGCACTAATTTACATTTTAAAAAATTGTGTAAAAATATTTTAAATTTTATTTGTACCAGCTTAACCTTGTGTGCCCTCGTGCCTACGTCAATGATAATGGTATCGCTCCCGCAACTGCACATTAGGCTATCGACATTCTTGCATCATCAACATCATTTTCCTTGCATTCGAACATCGTCAATAAAGTACACACAATATATTTTTATATATTAGTTTAGTAAAACAATAATTAAATTATTAGAAGTAATGTTTTTGTTTTATTTTTCTGAATAGTATGAAATTGCAAAATACACATTTCGATGTTAAAAATAAATAAAGATTTCATTAATTTTTCTTTTATTTTTTTGGATAAGAAAAAAAATGAGTTTATGTATATTTCGACTATTTATGGAAACGGTATGGATTAAAAATTTGAGTTTCATATTTCCTGAGTTTAAAAAATTCCAATAGTTGATACTTCAGATTATTTTTGTAATAACTTTATATATACAATATTGATGTCATATGATTTTTTTTAAAGTGAATCTTTAATACTCCGTATGAAAATGGAATATATTTGATACACAGTTTATGTAGTTTTGCTATCATACTATTATTACAAGACATTGATGTGTCAATCTTTTATTGTCTTAGAGCTCGTTTGATAACATTGAAATCGGCTAAATCGGCTGATTCTATTGAAATTTATGAAGTTCTGACTAAAGTAGTTGTATTGGCTGATCCTGCTGATTTATGAAAAAAAATTATATTTAAAATATATTTTATTAATAAAATAAATAAAAAAATTATATGAAAAATAGCTAAAATGGTCATCCACAGTAACTTCAGTCAATATTGCCAGAAAAGTAACTTCAACATTACTTTTTATTTTTTTTCACAAGAAGAGTTTTATTAAAGAGAAATAAAAGTTACAAAAAAGGAAAGAAAACAACGCGAGAAAGAGAACATGAAAACCCAACCTAAAGTACGAAAATACATTCCCTCCCAAGATAACCTTAAGTCTCCCTCTAGTAATTAGTCAGAACTCCACTTGTGATTGAGATCTAGTTCTCATATGATGCGATCGCTGATGCTTTTTCCTGTATATCTTAATCTGAGTATTTAGATTTTCTGTAGGCAAACAATTTTCTTTTGTAATCAACAACGCTTTGTTGCAAATATTTTGATTCGAATCACAATCCCATAGATCTTCTAAAGATGAAATAGGAGCTCTCCTTTCGCTTTCTGAAGCATGACCAAGAAAATCATCCTCCGAGTGCGTATAGAACTGCTCTCTAAAAGCTCCCTCACAATCAAAAACTTTAGTGTGATCACCTGAAATAATATCCCTCGAAGAATTTGGGCGTGCATGACTGAAAGCTTTTTCTTCGTGAGCAGGTCTCTTATCCAAACTATCTCGGTTGTCAAAAGAAGATGTGATGATTCTTTCAAATTCTCTGATTAAGAATTGAGAAAGTGAGTCACCCCCTTGCGACAAAGTGATCTGAAAGAAGTCCTTACTGTGATCTAAAACAAAATTCAAAGAGTGAAATAAAAAATTATGTATTTGGTTAAAAAGTTGGTTGATAAGCCTGATAAGCCGAAAAATTGAGTCACCAAACGGCCTCTTAGTTTTTTAAAACAAAATTCGTTGTCTTGGTTGAGTAGGTATGTCCCTGCTGCCGTACATGTATTGTCACGCCCCGGACCTACCCGGACACGTCAACAATCCGTCGTACAATACGAATAGTCAACCATAGTCAAACACATCCATATTATACAAGGTGTCATGAATATCATTCACACGTAAGTCATCCATAAACATACATAATAAGTAATTTAATACGCAGCGGAAAACATAGTTTGAAATCAAATGCCACACGTGGCAAACATGAGCACGCAGGCTCAAGTAAAATATCCATGAGCAAATTTATTAGTGTTCAAATCAGAATGGAGGAAGCACGAACCAAGTCTTCACTCCGGGAAATTACTCGATCAACGAGCATAGGAAGCAAGCTCTAACCTCAACCTGAAATGATGGTGGGACGCCCCCGAAGGGGTTAGTACTCTATAGGGATATAAAGTACTGGTGTGGATGGCATCTAAGGGATATACAACAAGTATTTCAAACATAAGACCCTCAAATAGGGGGGTAGTACGATATGACTGTAACCTCAAGTTACCCCATTTAAAAATATACTTACTTTATATAAAAGTCAAGTAGTCGGCCCGTAGGCTCATGTTTATTTAGAAATCACCATTCCCATTCCCATTCCCCGTGATTACTAGTCACGACAACTCATAAAGTTCATCACATTACCATTGCATAGCAAGGGCTCGGCCCAACTACATTTCTATGCAATCCTTTATGTCAAGTACATCATATCACATTTGCATAGCAAGGGCTCGGCCCAACTACGTTTCTATGCAAAACACAATTTACATGGCAAGGGCTCGGCCCAACTACATTTCCATGCAAATCACAATTACATGGAAAGGGCTCGGCCCAACTACGTTTCCCTGCAATCATAGAGTTCGGCTCCAACTCTTCATTATAGTCCAATTCCTAAGCAAACCTATGTCTAGAATTGACATCTCAATAATCTACCTTGGGTCATTCTTAATGACTGCACATAACTTACCCTTAGCTTCATACTAAGTCATTTTATACACTTGAAGTACATTCAAGTGCATTTCATACAATCCAATACTTAGGATCAATTCTATCAACAATTTCAAATAATCACTAACTAGTATTTCAATACTATTAAGATTATTGTCATCATACAAATATCCTCATTTTGTATTCCCTACATATTTATAAGTATGTAGCAGCAACTTAAATATTCAACTTCAACACATAAATATCCATTTATGTATCCACATATTTAATACATGAGTAAAATGCCTATTTCACAAAATAGTTCATTAATAACTCATTTAATCTCATATTATCCATACAACCTCAAATCATTTACAAATTCATTCATTTTCAACTATATCCATTTTTCATCAATATTTAGGCATCATAGTCCATGAAAAATCATGATTTAGGCATTTAGGTAATCTCATGCTTAACCTACAAGTTGTAAGCAATTAGATGTCGATTCTCACCTTAATTGAGCTTTAAACCTTTCCTTCTTGATCCAATGGTCAAAGCTTCAGTCAAGGTGGATTAAGAACTGATTCCTTGCTTAGAAATGAGTGTTAAACAGCCTCCTCAAAGTGCTAGTTCAACCCCTAACCGTTGATACGAAAACAGCCCCTAGAATGGGTGTTTTCCGGCGAACTCGTTTCCTAGTTTTTCCAAGGTTTGTTCTAGGTTAGCATCTAACCTTTACATCAATAAAATAACCTTATAAGGACATATTATACACTTGGAATAGTGTATAATAGTTTCACCAATCGTTCATAACATTTGGAAAATGAAAAGAAAGGTTTTGGATGTTAAAACTCACTTTAGAGAAGTAAATCCGTCCCTGCGCGTTTGTGTTTTGTTCGGTCGATTTGGAAGCCTTCCACTACTCCGTTTGATACAAACCAGACCTTTACGGGTTCCTTATCTTGAGAGCTATCCGCAGGTACATCACAAGACTAATTTGGATTAGTATAACTCGAGATATGGACCAAACAATATCAACACTCCCACTGCTCGAGTTTATACGCACCAGTTCACTCAACCTCGATTATCGACTGTAAGACTCTCTCTTATCGCTCAGCAACCACTCAATAGTGAAACTAGACTTCAAAGGCTATCCAAGGAAATCTTATACACCTCATTTGGATGAGTACAACTCCCATTAAGGAGGGAGACAAACCACACCTATGATTTGTGCGGAAATTGACAAGGTGGGTCTCAAGTTTGATTCCAATCAAGTCTTTTGCAGCTCTCCTCCAGCTTGTCCGGCCAAGGTAAGTCTCCTCACTTATTTTTCTCGTCTTGCAGGTACTCAAATCATGTGGAGTGCTTCCCCATTGATTCCAATCAATTTGGGGTCCAAAATATCTACCAATACTTCCAAAAATGAAAAAATGGATCCTATTATTTTATCTATTGTCAAAAGATGTCTTTTTGTACTCATTCTAATTTATTTAGAACAAGTCAACTCTCTACATCATATTATTGATCTCCAATATGTGTATGATCATCCCAATAATTTACATGATGAATATTATAGAAGAAAAACGTACTCCCATTATTTAGCTCAATAATGTCAAGGATAGACATTTGTATTCTTCTCTAATCATCCTATCACTTATTTGTGATTTTTGTATTTATGTTCATGGACTACAAGCCGTGTAGGTCACCCTCGAGTGGGCCTCGGATGCTCTTCTTGAATACTTACTATTTTTAGTAGGTTGGACCCAAAATAATGTTTGGGCTGCCTGACCTTCATTAATTTGTACCAAAAGGTTATGTATCATTATTTACATAATGTTGGGCTCTTATATTTAATAAGATGGCCCCAATTAAGTATTTGAAGTCCATCACTAATATACAAGCTCAACAGTAAAATGATCAAACACGTGTTACATAAAACAACGATTGTCTTACAATTGTTTGGTAAATGGAAATTCAATGCATAAACTTTGCATTTAAATTTGAATTTCAAGGACGCTCGAGTGCGGTGTCACATGTATTTTAGAGAGTAGGGTTGTAAACGAATCGAATCGAATACTGAGTAATACTATTCGTATTCGTATAACTTGACGAATATTCGTATTCGGATATTATTCGAATCTTAAATTAGATTCGTATTCGATTCGTTAATGATATTCAAATATATTTGTATTCGAAAAGTCGAATTCGAATATTTGTAGGGGAATTTTTTTCACACATTCAAATTATCATGTTTTGTATGTATTTTCTTTGATTTTCGCAAAAATTTCTACTAACTGAACTATTTTAAAAAATCAAATACTTCGAAAATCAATTGGAAACCCGTTCAAAATAAAGTAAACATTGTAAAATCAATTAATCAAAAAATCAATTACTTAAAAAAACTATTAATGAAAGAACAAAATTAATTAAACTAATAAATTTAAATTTAAACTAACAAAAACTATTTTAGTTGTTTTAATTTAAATTATTATAAATTATAAATATAAATATAATAATCTAAAATATAATTCATGTATACAAATCGAATATATTCGTATAACATACAAATCAAATATATGTATATTTGTATTCGAATTTTATACGAATAACAAAATCGATTTGTATTTGTATTGGTATTCGATTTTTTCGAATTCGAATCACGAATCGGATTAAAATTATTCGATTCGTTTACAACCATATTAGAGAGGAGGGGTTATCAATATTCAATAATAATATATGTTAGATACTTTGCCTCCAAGTATCAAATGTCTAAACCATTTTGGTAATATTCTGTTTTTACAATTAAGAGGGTTTTATGCAACCTCTTAGGTATGGCCGGAAGATGAGTATATAGGTATGGCCGAATGGTGTAAAAACCCCAGGACTTTGGGTATAGGTCTTGTGTAAAACGCCTAGTAGAGCCGAGAGGAGGGAGATAGAATTTCCGTCGGCCGGCGTTGCAGCGTGCAAGAAAAAAGTAGAATGAAGATAGAAGAGGTGCAGTCGACAACAAAGAAGCAGCGAATAGCGACTCACACTCACATCAAAGGTCTTGGCCTCGAGGTTAACTTCCCGCTCTTGATTTCTTGCACTCTTCCTTCCTTCTTATTCTCAATAGGTTTTCGTCTGTCGTACAACATTTTAAGTTCATGGCCTCTCCCTGCGTTTAGGTTTTGGTTTTTAGTTGTTTCAAAGACTGTGACTTTCCTTTTTAAATCATTTAATTTCTCTGGTTCTCTACTTTTAAAGTTCTTTTACCCAACTTGTCAAAGTTATGAGGGACTGAGGGAGTACTACGCAACGTGTTCTTAAAGTTCAGTTTTTCAGAATTGAGTTTTCTTTTAGCAATTGGCTTGTGTTTTCTTTTAGGAATTGCTGCAGTTGAGCTTTCTATGTTTGATTAACCTGTTTCGAGAGCAATGATTCATAATTGTGTTTGACAGCCCAATGGAAATGCAATACCTTTGGCAGCTGGTTTTGTGGGTCAGGCTAAGGCAAGAGAAGCTGCAGGCATTGTGGTTGATATGATTCGCCAGAAAAAGATGGCTGGTCAGGCTCTTCTGCTTGCTGGACCTCCTGCTACTGGTAAAACAGCACTTGCTCTGGGTATATCGCAAGAACTTGGAAGCAAGGTAACTTCTATGAGTTTTTTCAAACCGTTTCTGGTCTTTGGATGCTCACGCTTTTGATCCTGTTGTATTGCATATTTCCTTTATCATGTTGAGAACACTTACCCTTGTTTTTTCAGTCTTTATTTGGGATTTCTGTTGGGTTTATTACTCTTTTATTGTTTTTGGAGTATGATGTATCTTTTTGCTTGCTGCCTAATGTTTTTATGTTTTTCTATGTATCTTGCAGGTACCATTTTGCCCAATGGTCGGATCTGAAGTATATTCATCTGAAGTGAAAAAAACTGAGGTTTTGATGGAAAATTTTAGACGAGCTATTGGTTTAAGGATCAAGGAAAACAAAGAAGTTTATGAAGGAGAGGCAAGCTTCCCGTTCATGACTTACCTACGGTGTTGTAAAGCTCTCGAGTTTTGATTGGCGTAATCCAGTTTTACTGTCTCATGAAGCTGTCCTTTTTTTTTATAGGTGACTGAATTGTCTCCAGAGGAGACTGAGAGTGTCACTGGTGGGTATGGCAGAAGCATCAGCCATGTTGTAATTGGGTTAAAAAGTGTCAAAGGGACCAAGCAGTTAAAGCTTGATCCAACTATATATGATGCTCTGATTAAAGAAAAGGTCAGTGCTTCCTAAAACCTTTGTCTTTCAGAGTAGTAAATCTTCTCTTATTTTTTAACTTGGGTTCTCCTTATGTTTCATTGAACTTATACGTAATATTTTAAGCATGTGTGTGTACACATAATTAAAGAAGAACCAAGCATTCTTGTCAATTATTCATCAAAAAAGAAAATAGAAATAAGAAGCTGAGTAGTGAAGAAAGTTCATTGCTAATTTAGAAAGTTTCAATCAATTATGCCTCTAGGTTACATGGGGGATGTGGAAGCCTCGAGATAATTTTCACTAGTTTTGCCTTAAGGTGTAAACCTCAATAGATTTAAAAAACTACACTTATAATATATATATATATATATATATATATATATATATATATATATATATATATTCATGTCTGGAAGTTTGTAATCATGTGATTAAACCCCTTAAACCTGTTGTATTTCCTTTCACAAGCTATCTTGTTATATTGTAGGTAGCTGTTGGTGATGTCATATATATTGAATCAAATAGTGGAGCTGTTAAAAGAGTCGGGAGAAGTGATGCTTTTGCTACAGAATTTGATCTTGAAGCGGAAGAGTACGTTCCACTTCCTAAAGGGGAGGTTCACAAGAAGAAGGAGATAGTACAGGTTAGTCTCATATGCTAGTGTAAGACATAATATCTATGTTTAATTCAGAACAATGAGATTGGTAGCTAATGGCTCACTTATAATTCAAATCTTTTGAGACTATATTATATTCTCTGGACCCAACACTAAAAACAACATCGAAGCCCTAATCCCAAAAGAGTTTACAGTCGGCTAAGGTAGACTAGTAGATTATTAAATTTATACCCATCCTAGGAATTCTGTGTGTTTAAGCATATTATGTTTACCCCAGGAAGAAGTGATTTTAGGTCTTGACATAAGAAGCAGTCATGAGATCAAACAAGTTGCTTTGTGGTTACTACTTACTAGTATTGGATGATTAATCTGCTTTTAGTGCACTTGTTTCCATACCACAGGATAGCTTCTCTGAACTACAATGTACCCTTTAGTAATTTTACATTTTCTATGGGTTTTATCCTTTTCTGAAGTAGTTTCGTATCTCATCAGGATGTTACATTGCATGATCTGGATGCTGCAAATGCAAGGCCTCAAGGAGGACAAGATATATTGTCTTTAATGTTTCAGATGATGAAACCCAGGAAAACTGAAATTACTGATAAGTTGAGACAAGAAATAAACAAGGTAGATTTTTCAATTAGGAAAAGGATTCTTAGTATCAAATTTTGTCCATTATTTTTTCTTGTAAATGAGTTAAACGGAGCTAAAGGGATTATATGTACTGATAAGAGGTTTTAATAACAGGTTGTAAACAGTTATATCGATGATGGTGTTGCAGAGCTTGTTCCTGGTGTGTTATTTATTGATGAGGTTATAGTTTCATATATTACCTTTCTTGAAATACTATGATTACTTTGGTGTCTTTTATTTTAATTAGAACAATTCATTTGGACAGGTACACATGCTGGATATGGAATGCTTTTCGTATCTTAATCGCGCATTGGAGAGTTCATTATCACCAATTGTGATTTTTGCCACTAATCGAGGCATTTGTAATGTTAGGTATGGAATTCTATGTTCTCTTCTGTTTGTGTATGGCATAACCTCTTCTTGATGTAAATCATTCTTGTATTCTTTTCATCATAGTAGTCTCGTTTATTGATTTATTATGTGAGACAACAGAAATCTGGGAGTAAATTAGGACACCAGAAGTACTTCTGCACCTTTTAGGACATCAGAAGTACTTCTGCACTCCCACCCAAACACTCCAACTTCTTTTCTCTACTCAAATCTCAACCACAACTTATAACTTTTCAACAATTTTCTTGAAACTTGTGCTAAAGCAAACAAGACAATTATTTCGGGATCATTTTCATTTATCCCAGTGCCGCAAAGGCTCCCACCTACGGTGGGGTAAGGGGGCGTCCGATGTCAAGGCAATTATTTCGGGATCATTTTCATTAACCCAAGGGCCACAAAGGCTCCCACCTACCGTGGGATAAGGGGGGATCGGATGTACGCAGTCTTACCCCTGTACCAAAGCACAGAGAGATTGTTTCCGGATGACCCATAGTGAAAATCGCGTTCAAAATTGCATGAACTGACTGTTTCATAACAAAGAAGCGCAGACAGTTTAGTGAGCCATTTTGCTTTATTCCATCATATTCTCAAGCCAAAAAATAATGAATCTTTGGCTCCATTGCAAATGATGGAAAACAATTATTTCAGGATGAAGGGAGTATTATTAAAAAAATAAAATGCAATTTAGCTTCTTTTGTTCAAGTAAGACACTTTCTTCGGGACAATTATAAGTTTTCAAAGTTGTCTTTTTAGGGCATGTAATTGTATACTAATTGCTATCCACAACTCCACAAGTAAAAGTTAATTTAGATTTGAATGTTAGTGTTTTCTTGTGTTAAAATGAGTGAGCTAGACAACTAAGTAAAAGTTATTTAAAGTGTTCTTGTCAAACCTAATATTGTTGAATTTGCCAAGTGTGTTAAACATGAGTCATCAGCTGGTATTGTTAAAGGTCATATATCACTATATGACAAGGCCTTTTGAGAGAAAAAATCTATGATTAGCTGAACTTTTTACATTTCTATCTCATGGGAAAATTTAACAAATGATTTTTGTGCAGAGGAACTGATATGACGAGCCCACATGGTATACCTGTTGACTTATTAGATCGCCTGGTGATTATTAGAACAGAAACATATGGGCCGGCTGAGATGATACAGGTTTGGGGATTTGGACACCCTTTTTTTGGATTTTGGACTATACATATCCTTTCTTTCATGAATACAAAATTATAACTGTTTCATGTTATGGTTTTATTTATCATGTTGCAGATTTTAGCTATCCGTGCTCAGGTTGAGGAGCTAGGTATAGATGAAGAGAGTTTAGCTTACCTGTGTGAGATCGGACAGCAAGCATCCCTGAGGTTTGTTTCACCTGTTTTGACTTTTAGTAGGATTACCAGATTAATACTCTTAGGACCTGCTTAGTCTATTTCTTGATACTGAATATATTTGAGATTTAGAAAATAGAAATATTAACATAATTTGTGATCGTATGACATTCTATCACCTTTTATGTGTTTTAGAAGCATTTTTCTGTTTACCCAGATATAGATAATAAGCATTTAAAGGATTCCCCTCCAAAAAAATTTAAAATTCTTCTTCCAAACAGATCTTAGCAATCAATATTTTAGGTGGATGTTTAAAAGATGGTTTTTGGAGGAGAGTGTAATAGATTTTCTTTATTATTTTAAGACAACAGTGCTTGAATTTGACAATTTTTAAAATAAGAAATTTAATGTTTTTTGAAATTATTACCATAATATATATATATATATATATATATATATATATATATAGGGAAAAGATCAGGTGAGAAGTGCCCCTTAAAATGAAAAGTGAGAAGTAATCTCAGCCCTTGGATTTGCATCTGATCTTACAACGCAGTAAACTTATAGAGTAAATATATGAACTTATAACCAATAAATCATAACTTATAAAGCTCTCCGTAATAATTATGCCACCGCGTCAAAAAAATTTCCAGGTTTCCGTAATTATTTTTTTGCGGTGGCATTTTTGTAATTATTTTCGAGGGGATTATAAGTTATGATTTATTGGTTAAAAGTTTCTATATTTAGTCTATAAGTTTAACTTCGCAGTTCTCAGCCTAAGAGCACTTCTCACCTGATCCGCTCCATATTTATATATATATATATATATATATATATATATATATATATATAGAGAGAGAGAGAGAGAGAGAGAGAGCTCTTCTCATCAGGCCGGCCTGACGGGCTGCCCCGTCCGGCCGAGCCCGTTTGGGCACCTTCCCGGTGGAATTTTTTGATGAAATTTTTTGAGCATGTTCCTCATCAAGTCTAGTTTGTCCATACCAAATTTCAGCTCAAAATTCGATCGGGAAGGTCGTCAAATGATTTTTGCAAGTTAACCGGTCCGGAATATGTATTTTCCGGACCGGTTAACTTGCAAAAATCATTTGACGACCTTCCCGATCGAATTTTGAGCTGAAATTTGGTATGGACAAACTAGACTTGATGAGGAACATGCTCAAAAAATTTCATCAAAAAATTCCACCGGGAAGGTGCCCAAACGGGCTCGGCCGGACGGGGCAGCCCGTCAGGCCGGCCTGATGAGATGATTTCTATATATATATATATATATATATATATATATATATATATATATATATAGTTCCTTCTGAATTCAAAAATAAAGAATAAATTCTCCCTTCACCTCCAATTCTCAAATTTCCCAAACATGGACTAATGGATTCTTCTTTTGATAGGCATGCGATTCAGTTTCTGTCACCTGCCAATATTGTGGCTAAGATGAATGGCCGGGACAAGATCTGCAAGGTATTTTTGATCCAGAAAATCTCTAGGTTATCAGAAGGTGGTACCCCCAGCTTTTAAAAAAACTGATTATGGGAGTAAATTAGAGCACCAGAAGTGCTTCTGGAATTTTACCCAAACACTCCAGCTTCTACTTCTGCTCCTTGAAGGAGCAGAATCAGTTTTAAGAATCAGATCCAAACACCCCCTAAATGATTGGATCGTGCTCACGTAACTTTTTGTGAATTTTCAGGCAGATCTTGAAGAAGTGAGCTTGCTCTTTCTGGATGCAAAATCTTCAGCCAGGCTTCTTCAGGAGCAGCAGGATAGATACATTTCATGATGATGACCTGTATCCTTCCATCATTTTTTGCTACGTCAGGCGTGTGATTCTCTGCACACAACCTATGTCGACAGATGCTTCCCTTGACCCAGTCTACTCATCTGCTGTCTAATGTAGTCTTGAGGTTCTTCTTTTTGTTAGTGTTTTTACCAACTTGTCCTAGATTCATTGTGGTTGGATCTTACTTCTCGAATTTAAGAATACTTGTTCTCATTTTGTTTCTAAATGAACACATTTTGTGCACTTGAGTTTTACGCGGGGAAGGTTGATTTATTGATGAACGTCCTAATGGAACTCAACATCTAGTTCCATGGAGGATAATTTATTGTTTGTACAATTTCAAATTGGAAAAATTCACATGAATAATTCCAACTATTAGAGATCTTCTTATATTAATCCCAAACTAGAATCGGTACCCGTGCGTTGCACGGGATAAAGTTGTATACTCCCTTCGTTTTTTTATTAGTCTCCTTAGGGTTTTGCACGAGATTTAATAATAAAGTAGTAGTGTAAGTATATTAAAAGAGTGTATTAAGAAAAGTAAAGTGATGGTAAAGTAGGAAAGAGAAAGCAGTTTCTAAAAAATAAGTGGGGTAAAAGTAATAAAAGTGAGGATATTTTCTTAAAAACTTTCCTTAAAGGGAAAGGAGACAAATAAAAAAACGTCCCAAAAAGGAAAGAAGGACTAATAAAAAAGAACAGAGGGAGTACATTATTACTCCATATAATATCAGGATATAAGTAAATTGCAGTTTAAAATTTGTTTCATTTTTTTTTTGTAATTTGGCAAAAATACTGATATTCGATTTTGAGAAAGTCTTTGTAGACAATAGGTTAAATTGTTGGAAGAGTCTTTTATGCCATTAAAGTACTATCTCCGTTCCGTTTAGAAGTTCCCATTGCAAAACAACATGATTATTTAAACTGCAACTAAAGAAGGTAATTTGAGTATATTTTGAGAAATATAATTGTTAGTTATATTACATAATGAGATTAGTGATGGTAACTGCGATTTAATAGATGTATCATTTCTAATAATTTAACTCTTAAACTGGATTTTAAGAAAAAATCTAAAATGTAAATATGAGACATCTAAAAAATGAAATAATGAACTTTTATATGAAACATTTATTTATGCACTTATGCATGCTAAATATGCACTTTTGTACTACCTGTTTGACAAAAAATGTGAACGACAAAGTAGAGACTAAAGAAGTGTTGCAATTGCTTCTTCTTTAATAAAAGTTTGTAGTGTTTGAGAAAAAAATGATGTTGAAAAGTAAATGTTGATGATAGTGTTTGATAAAATATACGGAGTATGTTTTTTGTGCAATAGAAAAAGTAAAAATAAATTTCTAGGTTTTAGTTTTTAACTGTTTTATTTATCTTACCTTAGAAACACTCTTTTCGGCTGTTTGTAATCAAAATATGAAAATCACACTTTTTTTTTGCAAACATACCCTAAAATCTCTAAAAAAAATAGAAATAGTTTAAAAATAGCAAAATTAATAATCTAGAATGCAATAGTAGAAACCTGCAGAGTAAGAAGAGTAAACACACCCAAATACTTCATACTTAGATGCACACACTACCCATCAACACCTAACTGAAGGCCAAACTTTAGATTAGGATTTGGGACCCGTTGTTTTCTTCAAATTGAATTGGGAGTTGCATTAATAGAAACCTGCAGAGCAGTAAAAGAGATTGGAAGAAGGTTGGACTTGTAGATGTAGGCGGGAAGCAGTTGAGAGTGAAATCGGAATCCCTGGAGGTCGAAATTGGTGGCACCGAAGTAGAAGTTGAAAAGAAGGTATTCTGGGTCTTTTAAAAAAATATGTTTAGATAAATTTCTTCTGATTCACTCTTTTTAATGATTCATTGATGTCGTATTCTGCTTAGTTGTTCACATATGAGGACCCTGACAGTACTTGCTATTTGGCCAGATTCTGGAAAAATGACATTAACTTAATCCTTCATCTATCCAGAATAATCTAATATGTTAGTGGCGCCATTTGGCCAGATTCTGTGTTCGTGAAAATCACCAGTGTATTACTCAAAGAACTATATTTACAGCAATGAATATGTCTTTATATATATCTATATAATTGATACGGAGTAATTGTTTTTTTTTTGTTGAATTGATATGGAGTAATTGATAATTGATTGATAGACAAATCTGCAATCAGCCAGTACTTCTTACCAAGAATAAGATTTCAAATTGGAGAACATTCATTTTAATACCAGCACATCAATAATGAATTGTTATTCTTACCATAAATAATGTTTGGTAGACATCTATATTATTGGCAGTAACGTATTGACAGCTTCCCCAAACTTAGGGCATGTTTGGCACAAGTAGCTGAAAAGATACTTTTGTGAGCTTTTTAATAGCTGTTAGCTTTTAGTGACTGAAAAGATCTTAAAAAGAAAAGGTGGTAGCTGTTTGATAAAAAGCTGACTGTTTGATTTAGTTCGGTTTGGTATACAAGCTGTTAGGATTAATTAATACTAAAAGTCACTAGCTTTTCTTAGATGCTACTCCCGGTAGCATCTAAAAAAAGATCTTTTAATTTTTGAAAAGCTCTTAAATATTGTCATGCCAAACACACAACTAGAAGCTTTTAGGAACTTTTTGAACAATACAAAAGCTAGAAGTCAGAGACTTATGCCCGCCAAACATAGCCTTAAGAGCATCTCCAATGCTATAATGTCCACGGTGCACATGTGGCATGAGTGATAGCCACATAAATATTAGCAAATAAATTATCTCTCTCCTTATTTGAATGATTTTATACAATTTTGGTAAGTTTTTTCCTGCAATGTCAACAACAATGTCAACATCTAGACGGTCTCCTTGACATTGTAGAGAAAAACTTACCAAAACTGTATAAAATCATTCAAATAAGGAGATAAAGAATTTATTTACTAATATTTATGTGGCTATTTCTCATGCCACGTGTGCATCGTCCACATTTTACCATTGGAGATGCTCTAATGTGCATCTTTTAACTTGTCTATTACTTTCCTTTGATATTTCAATCATTGTATATTTTTGTTAAATCAATTTTAAGGTGGACGAATTGAAATATTAGCAGTATCTATAGTAATATAGCATGTGATTTTTTTGTTTGAAATAATAGCATGCGATTTAGTGTGTACGTTTTGAATGGTTGATTTTCCTTTAGGATATTATTATTGTATATTATATTATTATTGAGTTATTATTGTCATGCAGAGAATACTAACAAATGTGGTTTCAGTATATTATTATTGGATATCTATATTCAGTGATATATTATGGAATATCACTGAATATTCAGTGATATATTATGGAATATCACTGAATATTTAATTACATTTTGTACATTTAATTTAGGATGTTTTTATTTGGAGTGAAAATTTATGTTCTGGTTTGTCCTATTTGGTTTGGTTTGATCTAGTAAATGTCTGGCCATTGAGTATTTTATAATTATCCAAGTCTGATCTTGTTTGATTTGGTTTGATCTAATACTGAAAAAATTTCAAAAAACATTCCTATATATCACCATATACTCGGTATAATTATATTATTATACTTTTACTCTTTTACTCTTTCCAATAATATCACCATATACTCGGTATAATTATTACTATATATTATTATACTTTTACTCTTTCCAATAATATATTATTACTTTATATTATTATACTTTTAATCTTTCCATATAATATCACCATATTATAATTACACTCACTTTTACCATCTATAACAATTATTACTATATATTATTATACTTTTACTCTTTCCATTAATACGGTTGTATGGTAACTTTTAATTTGACATGTACGGTGTATTAACATACGTGTAACGGATTCTTATTCTTTGTGTAACGGATTCTTATTCTTTGTGTAACGGATAATCATTGCAATTGCAATTGGTTAATTGGTTTCCTTCATTCTAAAAGTATTAAATTGTCGGTTATAGCTACTAAGTATTTAATAAAGCAATTTTAACATAGAAGGTCAATACTGCCCCTGAAATGGGCAGGATTTTGGAACAAAAAGGCTCCTCACCTTGTTCATTTATATTAATATAGATAGATATACGTAATTCTGAAATAATCTCAAGTTTACAAGAGGTCTTCCCATATTGATCCAGATTACCCGTAACCTACTAAACAGGTAAAAGGATAAAAAGAAAATTAAAAAAAGCTGCGCAGCCAGAAAATTAAAAAACAGAGTTCTTCATCTTCACTAATCACTAGGCTTTCTTTTCCTCTGCTTCCTCCGTATCTCACAATCAGATTTCCCCTCTTTCATTTATTTTCATTTCTCTGTTTTTCTCCCTCAACACCTATGAAAATGTCCTTCCCACTTTCCATTCGTTTTGAATTTGCACCTAAAATTTGTAGTTCATTGTTTCAATTTCAGATTGGGAAGGTTTAATTTGGTTAATCTAACACAAATATAACACTATTGGTAGCAGTCGATGATGAATCTTATATGATTGGACAACAAAAGTATGAGATGATGGTGACCAAGCTAGTTAATTGGGATGAATGGGCTGATGGGTAGTTGGGATGGGCAGGGGATGGCGGTGTGTGCTTGGGTCACCCAAAAGCCGAATCGGTCCGGCCGGTTCGAGCCCGTTTATGAGTTTTTTAATTTTTTTCAATTTTTTTAACTTTTCGGGTTGGACTGTGTATTTTGGGCCATTTGGGGTGGTTTGGGGGGCTAGGGGTGAGGGGGGGTTAATTAGGAAAAGGAAAAAAAATGACCCGAGGCCTGGCCCGGACCTGACCCGGTGGCTACCTGGGCCCACCTAGTCAGAACCGGTGGCCCGCCCGAGCCTAGGCCCGGCCCGGACATGACCCGAATCCAGCCCAAGGTACTACACTATCAGCTTCAATAATAATAAGTTTACCGATTCTTTTCTATACAACTTATATTTAAATAATACAAACATGAGCTGTGAGGCTGAATTGGTTATTGGTATATGGCGCCCCGAATAAACTGTTAGTATTGATGTGTTTTGCTAAAATAAATACCGAATGCAAGTATGCGACGCAGTGTCTTAGAGGCTTAGACATAAGATTATTACAAATTCTAGCACAATTTTTTTTGACATGGAAGTGTAAATTACTCCCTCCGTTCCAATATATAAAATTACATGGAAGTGTAAATTACTCGGGTCAATTTTTAGACAATTTGTGTGATTCACAAAAAGTATTTTTAGAAAATCTTTTATATAATTTTTTTTACTTGAATGTTAAGACATTTTTAAAATTTGTGGTGAACTAAAGTATAGATTGCCCCCGCTAGCTCCACCCCTGTCTAAAGTTGAGATATACTACGTATTATTTATTTCTGATTTGGAGATTAATGATGGCTGAATGAAATAGACATATTTGACTATATAGTTGAAATAACAGTTG